TGTTTGATGGGGACAGTGTAGAGGGAGCTTTGCTCTGTATCTAACCCCGTGCTGTCCCTGTCCTGGGAGTGTTTGATGGGGACTATACCATGCATCAGATTGAAACTATTTATCATTAGCCAGTGTTGGTTATAAATTCAGTCAGTGTTGGTGAATATTTTGTTACCAGGAACAATTTGCCGTCCTGTTAATATTCTGGAACATTGCCAATAGGAAAGAAGTGAATAAATTTCGCATACATCTTTCTCTGCAAGAAAGGTGTGTCTGATGGTCATGTGTTGAAATTCTGGAACTCCTGGAACTGGTTTTCTCACAAAAGTTAAATGGTGATGTAACACTTTGTTCAAACTTTATCTTGCCAGTCCTGATTAGATCAGAGGGGGTTTGTGCTGGAAGGAAGTGATGAAGATGGCACACACTATGATGGTTGCAATGTCTTATTCTGGGATTAAGTGCCCATAAATACCTCCATCCAGGCCACTGTTCTGCCCAATTTGTCCCTTAATTTGTTATGGTTTCAGGCAGGATAAACCAAATCATTCAGCTCTGGGCTGAGGGGATTTGAAACGCCTCTCCTTAATTGTTCACATGCCCCCTTGGTTATCGTGGGTACCTTCCTCCCAGACCCAAATTAACTTATGCTTTAAAAGAAGCTATTTAAAGGGGGAGGTGATGGCCTTGTGGTATTATCTCTGGGCCATCATACTACAGACCCTGGTAATGTTCTGAGGTTTGAATGGTAGATAGTGGCATTTGAACTGAATAACAAAAAAAAATTAGGAGTCTGATGATGACCAGGAAATTGTTGCTGATTTATTGAATCCCTACAGTGTGGAAGCAGGCCATTTGGCCCATCAAGTCCACACAAACCCTTGAAAGAGCATCTCACCCAGATCCAACTCCCATTCCCATTGTCTAATTCACCTAACCTGTACACTATGGGCAATTTAGCCTTATCTGCACATCTTTGGACTGTGGAAGGGAACCAGAGCACTCAGAGGAAACCCACGCAGACACAGGGAGAACGTGTAAACTCCACACAGACAGTCGCCTGAGGACGGAATTGAACCCGGGTACCTGGCACTGTGAGGCAGCAGTGCAGAACCCATCTGGCTTATGAATGTCCTTTAGGGAAGGAAACTGCCGTCCTTACCCAGTCTGGCCTACACGTGACTCTAGACCCCACAGCAATATGGTTGACAATCAGGGATAGAACAAAGAACCGTACATCACAAGAACAGCCCCTTTGACCCCCCCTGCTCCCCCCCAAGACTGTGCTGACACATGGCATCTTTCTAAACTAAAAGCTATCTTTTGCCTCTATGCAGTCTGCATCCCTCTAGTCTGTGTCTCTTTGTGAATCTGTCACGACACCTCTTAAACGTTGCTATTCTATCTGCTTCTACCACCTCCTCTGGCAATGCAGTCCAGCACCTAGCACCCTCTGTGTAGTTAGAAAACTTGCCTCTCACTTCTCATTTAAACTCTCCTCCTTTTATCTTAAAACCTATCTACCCCAGTAATAGACATTTCTACCCTGGGAAAAAAAAGCCTCTGACTATCTGTTCTATCCAGGCCTTTCACAATTTTGTAAACCTCCACTAGACTGCCCCTCAGCCTCCGATGGTTAAGTGAACACAAACCAAGTTTCCCCAATCTCTTCTCATAGCTAACACCCTCCGAACCAGGCAACATCCTGGTAAACTTTCCAAAGCCCATCTGGTAGCGTGGCGAGCCAGAACTGTATGCAATATGCCAAATGTGATCTGACTGAAGTTCTGAGCACGACTTGCCAATTTTTGTATTCTATGCCCTGACCAATGAAGGCAAGTATGGCAAATGCCTTTTTGGCCACCTTATCCACTTGTGTTGGCATGTTCTGTGACCCGTATGCCTAGATGCCTCTGTATGTTAACGCTGGGCAATAAATGAGAGACAACAAGGTGCAGGGCTGGATGAACACAGCAGGCCAAGCAGCATCATAGGAGCAGAGAGGCTGACGTTTCGGGCCTAGACCCTTCATCAGAAAAGGGGGAGGGGAAGGGGGTTCCGAAATAAATAGGGAGAGAGTGGGAGGCGGATAGAAGTGGGATAGAGGAGAGGATAGGTGGAGAGGAAACAAACAGGTTGAAGAGGCGGGGATGGAGCCAGTAAAGGTGAGTGTAGGTGGGGAGTTAGGGAGGGGATAGGTCAGTTCAGGGAGGATGGACAGGTCAAGGGGGCGGGATGAGGTTGGTCGGTAGGAGATGGAGGTGCGGCTTGAGGTGGGAGGAGGGGATAGGTGAGAGGAAGAACAGGTTAGGGAGACAGGGACGAGCTGGACTGGTTTTGGGATGCGGTAGGGGGAGGGGAGATTTTGAAACAATAAATGTTGGCTTAGCCCAGGACGCCTGCATCCTGTGTGTAAATATTTAAAAAAAGACCATCTTGAAATAACAAAAAGAGTGAGTTTATTAATTGCTAAACATGAGAAGAATTAGTAACACGACACACGTACATATTCGAAGTGGAGGTAAGTCCAAAAAACGTAATAGTTGAAAGCGAATGAAACCTCAGAATTGGCGAAGGGACTCTCAATCCTGATTGCTGCTTTCATTTGCTTGTACCAAGATTGGACACACCAGAATCTGATCCCCACAGTCAACGCAAGCCCCCTCTCTATGCATTTAGTTGCAGTTTAGCTGAGTGACCCCCTCAGTCTAACAATAAAACTGGTGACAAATTCCATACCAGTAGGGCTGGCTCTGAACGCTTTCCAGAATGTGGAGGTTCCTGAATATTCCTACCTTAGCGGTCAAAATTAAGAGGCACGGCAGCACGCTGGTTAAATTTCAGGGCCAGTGGAGGCATGAGTTGAAATCCCACCTAAGCAGCTGAGAGAGAAAAACAGAAGTTGCTGGTAAAGCTCAGCAGGTCTGGCAGCATCTGTGGAGAGAAGTCAGAGTTAACGTTAAACCCAAAACATTAACCCTGATTTCTCTTCACAGATGCTGCCAGACCTGCTGAGCTTTTCCAGCAATTTCTGTTTTTGTCTCTGATTTGCAGCCTCTACATTTCTTTCGGTGTTTTACTCAAGCTCAGGACTTGAAATGGAATTAGTTAAATAAATCTGGAATAAAACGTTGGTCTCAATCAACAGAGTGTTGTAGAAACCCATCTGGTTCACTAAGGTCCTTCAAAACAGGAAGTCTGGCCCATGTGTGACCCAAGACACATGGCAATGTGATTGGCTCCTGAAGGACTGAGCTATCCACTCAGGTCTCATAGAGTCATAGCAGCAATTGGCTGACTGAGTCCATGTCTTCAGGAAGGCAGCTCACTATTGATTTCCCAAATGGTAATGAATACTAACCTTGCCAGTGATGCCCACACCCTACGAATGAATAGAAAGTAAAAGGATGAACAAGTATTTTTAAATGGGTTAATGAAAAAAAGGGACGTCGATTTTGATCCCTCAGAGAACATGGTCCTGGGGTTGGTTTCTGTCTGGTTGCTCTGAGGAATTGGGACCTGCACTATTTTTGGAAAGTTGTACCAAGGAGATAAAATGATTTCTGTGGAAGTGTGGTGATTTATCCGAACTAAACATCCCTGTTTCCTCAATTCAGATCTAATAGGACTATTTTTAAACCAGCAATTGGGAGCTGGTCAGGACCGAGGATAAATAAGCAGAAGTCATGAATGAGTGAAAGAGGTGATTGTGGGAAGCACATAGATGAATAAGGTTATCCTGGACTCTCTGCCTGAGGTTACAGAAAACGCCACCAACATTTCACGTTGTCCTACTATTTAACTGGAATCTCTTTCCACTTCCACCCCACCCCCGCCACACTTTTCTAGACCAGTTAGTGATTACCCAACCTGGTGGAGAGACAGACAGTGTCTATTTTGGAGTCCAAGGCAGTAGACCTAGGAACGAACCCTTGGAACCCAATCCACCACTCCTTTGGCAGACGGGGTAATCTGATACTTGCATCCGTCTGGCCCGCAACGTTTCAGGGAAAACTCCTCAGTCATGGCCCATCTCGTTGCTGGGACTGGAGCGGTGAACCAGCGTGGCGGTGGGTAAGGCTGGAGTTCGTGCCAACCTCCAAGATTTACACTGTCACTGGAGGGTCAATCAAAATGAGGAGATACAACCAAGAAAGCCTGGCCT